CACACAAAACTATCAAATGAAAACACCAGACATCATACTGCATTTAGAACTGTGAAATAGAACAAACAACAACTGACCGACAAATACACCAGACTCGGGCTCCATTAGCGACCTTAAACAATTTCACACATCTATTGATTCATGAAATACCGTTTTATCATTTATTGAACTTTAATACCGTGATAGGAAATAGGGTGAGGGGTCCTTACTTGTTTCGGGGTCTGAATACGGCTCTACAGTGCGCCTACAGGCTGTCCCTAATTTTTCCTGAATTTTTTCCGGGGAGCTGAAACGCACTACTAGTACCTGTACGTGTCCCAAAAAATCCCAAATTAGATCTAGGGCCCCTTTCGGCCAATATCGCAATTCCGGCACGGCGGCTCCGCCGTGCTCCGGCGACGGCGCCGCCGCTTGCGGGGGCGAATCGCCTCGGGTTTCGTTTTCGGCATTTTTTGGCCGTTTTCGACCGAATTCGGCCACGCTTGCATCGGTTCCTGCGATAGAACAACCTTAGGGCCCTCGGTGGGCCGAAAAATCACGAAAAATCGAAACTTACAGGCGGCGGTGCTCTCGGGTGCGGCGGCTCCTCCGGCGTGAGTCGCGTTTTGATGTTTGGCTCCGATCAACCTGTAGAGAAAAGAACGGTGATCACAGTGGTGTAAAATTTGCATCAAACAGATGCCGAAAAGGGCCTCATCGGAGGCAAAAACCGAGGAGGGGCGCGGTGGTGCCGCTGGGTTTCGGCTGAGTTTTCCAGCCGTTTGGCCGGTGGTTTGGCTCCGGTTTGGCCATAGGCGGACTCAGCGTCGAAAAACGAGCAATGGGGAGAAAAATTACCTCGATCGGCGGTCGGAAACTTCCCCGGTGCGGCGGCTGGTGGCGGCGGCCGGCTCCTCCGGCGTCTGGTTCTTCTTCTCCGGCGAGCACTGGCGGCTAGGGTTTCTTTGGTCAGGTGTGGGTGGGGGTATTTATACCCTTTTCCTTTTAATCTTGACCATCCATCAAGATTGAATCTGGGCCGTTCGATCGCGATTTAATTGGGATTAAATCTGGGCCGTTCATCGCAATGCAATCTAGGCCGTCCATGCGCGTGAATCTGGGCCGTCCATGCGCACGTTTGATCTAGGTCGGCCGTGCGCGCGGGAACGGATCTGGACCGTCCGATCGCGCGCACGCGGATCGCCCCCGTGACCCGTCTCCTGGTCTTTGTGTCCTTGCCACGCGGCGCGTCCTGGTTGGCCGGGGATGTTGGCCGGGCCGCTGACGTGGCACGCCTTTTCTAATTAAGTTTTGACCCCCGATTTCCAATTTTCTTTAGAAAGTAACGACGGACTCCTACTTTTGCGCTTTTTTCTCAAAATCAAGTTCATTTATCTCGCATTTACATTTATACACAATTTTCTA